GCTAAAAACCTAGCTTTACTGTTTCTAAATTGCCTGGTGGATTTTCTTAGTCCTAGAATATTACCTACCTTTACAGAGCAGCACTAGTCTTTTCTATAAATAGCTGTGTACCTTGTTTGGAATCACTGCACATTAAGAGTCCCTTTGACCATTCTGCTCTGCTTCCCTTTTGCTAAAATGAAGCACTTCTTCTAGATAAAATTTGATACTATACCAACATTATTTACTAAATACGTCATTTTTGAACAATGATAATGTCAAAATGTTAGGATGTTTCAAGAGATACTGATACTATTTATGCGTTAAGACAAAGAGAAAATAGCACTAGAAAAAGAGCTTTTACACCTTGCAAAGGCATTTCTGTTCCTATTTAAATCAGTTTCTTTACTGAGCCTAATTTGTATATGTTGCAAATAGTTTATAACTTATGATTTGCCAGAATAGCAATTTGTGTGGTTAGTCATCCATGATCTTTTTTAGTTCACAAACACAGCAGAAAATTTGACATTTTCTCCACTTTTATCCACTGCACTTTGAAAAGTTTACATTGAATTCAGTCTGTTGGACACACAAGAAAGGTTTCTTTACGGTTCTAGTATGTTCCGCATGGATACATTTTGTCAGGCTGACAAAATATGATGCAACACAAGACCATGCAAAGCCACGCAACTACTCTGATTAATTTGGTTGGAAACTGTTAAATTCAAAACTGTTATATAGAAGCTACTAAAAAAAATAAAAATCTTGGAATGCAAGATGATTTGTTCTGCTTATAGATGACTCATACCAATAGAGAACAATATACATTATGGTTCATTTAACCATTCCAGCGTTATTTATCATTTGTTTGACTGTTAACAAGTGAGGTGAAAATACCTTGTTTATGTAACATAATGCAATACAGGAGAAATCAACAGAAATGTGTGTAAAATGTCATGATGAGCAATTGTTTCTTTACTTCTCTCATGTTCCATGTGTCTGAGAGTTGGTTGGTTGGTTTGGTTGTTTCCCATCTGGGTGAACAGTTCCTATTTCCTTGAGGATCTGATCTTAATTTTTTGAAGTTACAGGTGTTTGTAACATTTACTCACTAACGTAAGTCATTGCATCGTAGTTGTTTTCTACATAAATTAATTCACAGACTTAATCTTTTAATAATGAGGAAAATCTGAAGGTATATTTAATGCACCTTCAGTATAACTTTTTCTGTATTCTTTTTTTCACTCTGTGTTTTCAGTTGAAAAGTCTGATATTATAGTAGGCTTTCCCTAGGCAGAAGGTTAATTTCACAGTTCAGAGATGCTACACCCAATCTAATCACTGGTTAATCTTGAAATAACTTGAGGCTTACAGACTTCTCTTTCTATCTGGATGCACTTTGCTGCTACCAAGGGTCTTGCTGGCCCAAGGCATATCACACTGAGGCTGGTCTATGATCTGCTAGCAAATTTTTTTCTTACTAGATTGAATGGCAGCTTAAAATTAAAATTTGAGTCTTTTGAGAAAACTAAGTCATGAAAAGCTGTTAAAAAACCTTCAGCTGATATTAAAGAAAATAAAGATATTAGAAAATATAGTGTCTTAAAAAAAAAATATTTTCTGCTATTGCCTCTTTTCTTGAAATTTTTTCTTTTTTTTTTTTTTGGGGGGGGGCGGTGTGTGTCAGTGAAATCTTAATGTATTTAATTAAATGGAAAACCCTGGTTGTTTTTTTATTTTATTTAAAATTTCATCAGAGTCACTTTTTCCACCTCTCCTAACTTTGCCAAACTTCTTGCACTGTTATCTGTAAAAAGTCCTTCTTGTTCTTTATAGCGTTTTCTTTCTCCTTTGAAACCAGAATTTGATTTTTAAGATTGCTTTCCTGCAAGGCTACTCTGATCTAGGAGTCAATTCTTGGATTAAGTCTTCAGAATCTACTTATTGTACTGTAAGCAGCAGACATTATAGGATTTGCAGCTTTGTTGGAAAAAAATTCCATTCTTGTAATTGCAAACCAAAGGAAAGGAATAAAGACTAGTGAGCTCTGTGATACTAAACAGTGTTCATGGAGCATATAAACTGCAATGTTTCACTCTCTGACCTCTTAAAAGATATAAAATTAAAATAAAAACAAATTCTCCTTTGTGAAGACATGAAGAAAGTCCTAGATGGATTTGTTAAACCAAATACTGACTGTACTTTCAGAAGAAATTGCAAAGGAGTTAAGCAATACTAAAACTATTGTTTTAGTTCTAGCACAGCATGAAAATCAGAATGGCATGAAATCAGAGCTTTAAAGTTATTTATAAATTCAGCCTGTCATGTCATATCATATCCTGTATTTCCGGAAATACCATTCATTGTATTTAGGAAATATTAAGCACATGAAAATGCTTTACAGTCTAGTACACCATATTTTATTGCAAAGACAGGAAGTCCTCTCCCTGTTCCTTCCCTCTTCCTTCCCTGTTCCTTTCTCAATTTGCACGACTACCCATATTATTTTATCAAATGATAAAATTTGAAACAATACATTTTAGTAGCTTGAAGATTAGATGGTGTCATTGTGTAAGTTAATGGTTGCTAAACGTTTCTATGTCTTGATGAATTATAAAAGCCTCTTATATTATTGATTATAGTTTTATTCTTTTTTGTCAGTTTCCAATCTCCTCGGTGAAGTTTAAACAGCTATGTGAATGCAGAGAATTAGTTTCAGGTGATGTTTTTCTATATTACTCATAAGGATAGGTAATTACCCTTAGTTTGAAATTATTTGCTTGGTAACTGTGAAAAATGCTATCAAAAGAACCAGATGATCTTAAGCTTCTTTCCAACCCTGACTATTCTATTCTATGATTCTATGAAAAGGTATACTATTAAAAGATATATGTATTGGTGTAGGCATTAACTTTTTTCTGTAGATCTATATGTACAACCTGGACATATTCAAGACTAAATGAACCTGACATGAGCATCATAATGACAAGTCCTTGGCATATATAGATAGAATAAAAAAGTGCATTTAGTACGGAAGTGTGATCAGTATACTCTTTGTTATCAATAAGTTATATAATGTTAAAAATATCCCTTATAAATTGCAATAAAAGCCAAAAAAATAGATGTTATCGGATTGCATCTTTTTATTCAAATTTAAAAAAAAAATAAAAGGTGTCCTGTAATAGAAAAAGAAATATACAAGTGGTTTGCATTTACCCTATGCCCAAAGACATTTTTGCTGGCATGACCTTTTAAAGCAGCAAATATTTGAAGAATTGCAGTACCCGGAACAAAGAACATCTCTTGTAAAATTGAAGTTTCAAATTTTGGGGACAGATTAGTGACTTGAGTAAATTCTCATAGTTTGTTTTTCATGTTATTGGAGACAACTAGCTCAGTGTATACTTAACACTGAATATTAGGTTATGCAGCAAATTGCTTACTGTATTCATTTTCAATTAGGTGATATGAAGGTTGTATACGGTTTGTACAAATGTTGCACACAGTCGTGTACAAATGTGTTACTAAGGAAAATGTATTGAGTTACATAGTTTCAAACTTCCCTGTTGTATGGACTTCACCATTTCTGAAGACATAACTTTTCATTCAAAAACCAAAATAAACCTAAAAATACAAATAGAACATGCTGTAGTAGCAGTTATTGCTTGAGTGGTAAATAATCCTTCAGTGTTTGCCAAGCAAACAACAGGATGTGTGTCAGTGAAATCAAAATGAATTAACAGAAGACCTGTCAACTTTAGTTGTAGTTTCAGAGTATTTAAAGTGAGTCCTTTGGTAAATGAACTAAATAAACTTACTGCTTTCTTTCTTTCTTTCTTTCTTTCTTTCTTTTTTTTTTAATGGAATCTTGAAGCTGGAAATGGTTGTCTGCTTATTCAAAAAAAGATTCAGAAGGTTTATCAGCTGATGTTTTCTAAACATGGAAGTTCATATCCATTTTTGTGTGGTGTTGCCTCAGTAGAAGTAATCTTTTCCTGTTATTTCCTAATGTATTTTTATGTTATTTTTAAACACATTTTTACAGAAAAATAATATAGTAGTATTTTAAAGAAAAGAAAAAAGATGAGAAGTAACTAGGTAACACTGCTATGGGAAAAGATTGGTGGATTAGAGTGAACAACTAAGGGAATTATAGTGAAAAATCTGTTGACTGTGAATCAATTATGTAATTCTATCTTTTTGGAAGCAAAATGCTATTTTGAAATATGTTAATATATGTTATGTGTTGCTGATGCAGTTTTAGAGCTGATGTGTTTAAAAAATTTCTTAGTTCTAGACAACTCTGCACTCGAATATCAGAATGCTTTAGGCAACACATACTAAAAAATTCTGAAACATAGAAAGAGAAGACTGGGAGATAACTCAAGCAAGAAAGATGACTGTTTTGCTTAAAAGTTGAAATGTTTTGTATGTTCACTGAGATGCAAGCAAGTCAGGAAAAATAAGAAAAAAGATATTATTTATAGTGTAAGGGATTTTAATTCAGAATGGAACTGAGGACAGTTAAGCACTGCTTGAGGTCTTACAAGGTTCTGGAACACCCTCTTTATGTCATGGAACAATTTAAGCTGGCAGCAGCCTTTACAGTTACCTAGCTAAACCAGTTGCTTAAACCAGATGTAACTTCAAAATTAGAATCATTGAATAGTTAGGGTTGGAAAGGACCTTAAGATCATCTAGTTCTAACCAGGTTGTACAGGGTCTTGTTCAGTTGAATTATGAGGATCTCCCAAGATAGAGATAAAGTGACAGAGACTGCACAGGTTCTTTAGACAATGTGTTCCAGTGCTTAATCACTGTCGTTGTGAAAAACGTGAAAAATACTGGGTGAGTTTAAAAACAGGTTGTATAGGAATCTTTCTGCAGCAGGCAAGGTATAGCTAATTTTATCTCGGAGCAGGAAGGAGGGTGAACTAGACTGTCTCTTCTGGATCTGTATGTCTATGATTTTTTTGGTAACTAATTCTTTAAATAATATATTTTTCTACTTTTAATTGCAGCAGGAAAAGAATCAGGAAAGCTCAAGAAATAAAGGTAAGTGTTACTTATTTTCAAAATGTGGAGATTCTTGTTATTATCACAAATCATCCATTGTTGGTAAATTATTATGCAGATGGATTCTTTGCTGAGTATTTTGGTATTTGAAATTACAAAACTGTATCCAGGAAGTGGGATAAAATGTAGAAAGTAAATGAATAAGCTACTATTTTTTGGAACTCTGCTTAAGATGAACAAGGCTGACTGCTGTACTCTGGATGGCATAGGCTGCACGGCTTTTCACCAAGTTTGTGTCCTTAGCTATGGATGCTTATTATACTTCAATGAAACATCAGTACTGTCACTTTAGCTTCTTCCTCTCCATTCAGTAAATCTGTGACTGGATTTGATTACAATTTATGCACAAATTGATCACATCCTTAGTAGGCTGCCTTGCAAAACTAGTGTTAGCTGTGTGTTTTGCATACAATTTTTTTATACTTTCACTGCATCTTACTCTGTGCCAGTAACTAAACACGGCATGAAATAGAATATCCAGGTTAAAAACCCAGCCTTGTTTCAAGAAAATTAGAGGAATTCAGGAAACCAAATTGCTGATTTCATGCTTAATCATATCACCTGAGTTAGCTGTTCTTAATTCAGTTATTTATGTAACACAGTACTCATTAACCTCAATTTCCTTGCTTTCCCTCCCACTAAGACTGGACATGGGCATCTGAAAACAAGCTAAATCTGATGGTTGTTTGGAGCTGCATCAGGACGATTATGTTATTCATGATGATATGATGATTTACATCATTGAAGGATCTGTGCTCCTTCATTTGAAGAGTGTGCATAGTAATATAAAAAAAAACCCGTTCAGTTTCAACCACCATATTCATTAGTTGTTAGTTTAGTTAACTAACCACAGAAACAATTTTCAAAAGCTTACAAAATATTGCCCACAACTACAACCAAAAGAAAGCGTTCAACTCTACTTGAAGGGAAATATCCATTACCTCCAAACAAGCAGTGATATTGGTGCCCAGCTGCACAGAATTTGTTGTGATTCTATCTGTAACATCTTTTGAGAAAATTTTCAGTCTACTAAACTTCCTTCCTGCTGTGTGTGTGTCTGTCTATACTAACAATTCAACTTGGAAGATTGCAGTGGTCTGGAAGACTACTAATTCATGGAGTAGGCTTTGGGATATACATGCAGATATTCTCATTTGCTTAATGTTTTTTGGGGATTGCTTTGTGGCTGGGGTTTTGTTGTTTTTTTTTTTTTTGCCTTCTTTTTTCATATTCTTTAAATTTCTTATTTGTTTTCATATGTTCTTTTTCCATGTTATTGAAAATTTCAGAAAGATGGTTTTATTTGCCTTGTAACTTAAGGCATATAAGATCTTGAAGGTGTTTCTTCTAAAATATTGGTTGGTTTGGATGAAACAAAGTTAAATTAATGTTTTATCACCATCAATGAGCAGCTACCCTTCACGTACAGTATCTAAATATGTTGTGCTCTGCACATGTTCTTGTGAGATAGGTAAATGTTGTGGTTTATCCCCAGCTGGCAACTAAGCTCCACTCAGCTACTCACTCTCGTCCCCCCAGTGGGATGTGGGAGAGAACTGGAACAGTAAAAGTGAGAAAACTTGGGAGTTGAGATAAAGACAGCTTAATAGGTAAAGCAAAAGCCATACACGCAAGCAAAGCAAACCAAGGGATTCATTCACCACTTCCCATTGACAAGCGGGTGTTCAGCCATATCCAGGAAACCAGGAATCCAACTTGTGTAATAGTTTCTTGGGAAGACAAATGCCATAACTCTGAATGTCCCTCCGTTCCTTCTTCTTCCCTAGCTTGACATACAGAGCATGATGCCCTATGTTATGCAATATCCCTTTGGTCAGTTGGGGTCAGCTGTCCTGGCTGTCCCCACTACCAGCCTCTTGTATACCCCCAGTCTCCTCACTGGTGGGATGTGGTGAGAATCGCAAGAGGCCTTGACTCAGCAGTAAGTACTGCTCAGCAATAATGAAAACATCCCTGTATTGTCAGCACTGTTTCCAGAACAAATGGAAAGCATAGCCCCATACTAGCTACCATGAGCAAAATTAACCCTTTCCCAGCCCAAATCAGTACATTAGATTATCTCCAGGGTCTTAGGACAGGGTTCTAACAATATTCCTTACTCTTTCCACATATGGCAGATACCGTATAAGGTAAAAGGACAAAAGCATTTTCTGTGCTTCCTTAAATGTTCTGAAACTCTCAGAACCAATGTTTTAGTCTCAATTCAGAGGACAACTACAGCTCATGTTAAAGATCCCTACCAAATGAAACTGGAATCTCTGATGTGCCTCATAACTTCCATTGATATCACTATTTCAGTATCTGATTTTTATCAAGAATTTCTTTAAGACTGTTTTTATGAGGAGGGTATTGCAACACAATTACAATCAAATGCATTTTGACTTCAGCAG